ATGCTCCAAACCCCCAGAATCTATGTGTTCAATTTTGAAAATATTTAATAGACTATGACTAATTCTGCATCATGGCGACTCTTGCAGGCAGCCCTGACCAGATGGACAAGTGATTCAAGCATTGTCATGTGAGATGTGGAGACCACACAACAAGCATGAAGTAACAGGCTAGCACGCCACTTATGGGTCCCAGAGAGAAGACTGTGGGGAAGGCTAGAGAAGAAGAGAAGGAAGAGACAGAGAGAGGAGACAGGAAGCCAGCGTACAGGGAGACAAAGTTGGGAAGGAGGAGCAAGGAGGGAGGGGACATAGAAAAAGGAGAGGAAACAGAAGGGAGAGGAAAGGAGGGGAGACAGAGAGGAGAGAAGAGGGGAGAAGAGGGGAGAAGAGGGGCTGCAGGCTGTGCTGTCACTAGGAGCCCTGACACCTTCCCTGAGACTGTGCAGTGGTGGCATTCGGCAAACACACAGAGGGGACTTTGGTGACGTCCTCGGGTTTCTAGTCAGCAGCTGTGGAGTTCAGGGTGAGGACAGTAGGAAAGAACAGACCTCATCAAGTCAATCCCGGAAGGGAAGTGTGAACCAGGCCAGAGGGGACGGCGCGACAGTGCTGCAGCTCACTTAGGTCTGAACCCCAAACAGTCAGCAACAAGGGCAGTAAACGCCTGAGGAAGGCGGCAGCCCTCACGGTGCATGGCCTCACAGCTCTCTCCACCCTAGGCAGCTGAACTCCAGTCACCATCCTGCCGTCTGACTCCATAGTTTTTCTTCTAACGTATGAGCGTGTGGTGAATGTGTGGGGGCAGATGTGTGTTAGGGGGGTGTCACAGTGCACAAGTGGACCTCAGAGGACAACTTGCAGAGTTCAGTTTAAACCTCCCAGCTGGTGGGTTTCAGGGACCAAACTCAAATTGCCGGGCTTGGCAGCAGCAAGCCTAAAGCCGGCTTGCCAGTCCTAAAAAATGCCTTTTCACAAGGACAAAAAAAAAAGTGTATGTGTGTATAACATGTGAATCCACAAAAGTGTCTGCCATCCAGAGGGACATGAAGGCCAGTTCAACTTGCATGAGACTGTCTCAAACAAACAGAAAAGTGCACAGTTCAGCGGTGTTTAGCTGTGCGCAGCTGTGACCATGGCTTACTTTTAGAACAGTTCATCACTCCAAACGAAAATCCCAGTGAGTGGCCATCCCCTGGCCGCTCTTCTCCAAGGTACACGGCCCCAGGTATCCCATAATCCCCCTTGGCGGACTCCCTCTTCTGCTCACCCCCCCACTCACGAAGCCAGCCGAGCCCTGCTGTGACCCCCTGCCCAGCTGGTCCCTCACCATGGCACACACTAGCAAGCCACCCCCTTACTGATAAGTCATCACCCTCTTGCATGGTTACCCGAGTGTGTGCTCATGCACGCGGCTTCTGGTTTGCTCCAGTGTGGTGAGGCCCTGAACCCGTGTGCACGAGGCTCTGTGTGGGAGCATGTTTTTGTTTCTCTTGGGTATGTGCTTAAAGAGTGGGATTTCTGAGTCATAGCAACTCTATATTTAACATTTTGAGGAACTTCCAAGCTGTTTTCCAAGGTTGTTATTATTTTGTTTTTGGCAGGCGCTGTTCACTTAGAGTCAGCACCAAGCTCAACCACTGTGAGGCTCTTCGCTCAGCCGCCCTGCAGTTCTGGTTCTCGCCTTCCCTCTGCCACCATCCTCACTCCCGCCTCCTGCAAGTTTTGTGCATTTGCAAATGTCCTCTCTCTCCTGCTTGCTCTTCCTACACCCTCCCTACCCTCTCCTTCTCCCCCTCCCTCCCTCCCCCTCTCTGTCGTGCTCCCACAAGCGTGCGTTTTGTTTACGTGCTTGTTGAGAGCAGAGGACACCCCCAAGTATTTTTCAAAGTCGCTCCCCACTTAAAAAAAATTTTTTTTAGATTTATTTTACTTTGTGTGTATGAGTGCTTTGCCTGCATGTATGTCTGTTCCCCACACGCTTGCCTGGTGCCTAAGGAAATGGTGAGGCTCCATGTGGGTGCCTGAAATTGAACCTGGGTCCTTTGCAAGAACAACAAGCGCTCTCAGCCACTGAGCCAACTCTCCAGCCCCCACTCTTCATTTAAAAAAATAAAAGATTGTTCTTTGACAGTTTTACACATGTATAGAATACATTCTGGCTACTCTCCCCACCCACCCTCTCCTTCTCCTATCCAACTGCCGCCACTACCAAACCCCGCCTCCAACACGCACACGCACAAACATGTACATACACACGCTTCCCTCTCCCAGATTCCTGACTCTTGGTTTTGTTTTGTGACCCATTTAGTTTGGCCAGGCTCCTCAGACAGGTGTGTCTGATGCTTGGCACGACTCTGGTTATCTCCATCATAACTGCTGCTTTGCCAGACCGGGAGCCCTAGGGCCATCTCTGTCTACCCCATCGGTCAAAGTGAGCCCTAGTCAGCTGAGGGTAGTGTGCAAGCCAGTGGTACCCAGTCTGTTTGACTGACGCTGGACAAGTTAAGTCCTGAGAGCAGCCAGGTACCCTCTGGTTGTGCCTCATCCATGCCTAGCCGAACACCGGTTGGATAGTTGCTGCAGTAGCCTGGCTGAAAGATGTGAAGGAAGAAAGCTTTATCTGGGTTCCTGGTTTCAATGCAGAACTGTTCGGATCCTGAAGGGCAGGATGCATGGGTGAGCCGTACAGGAAGGGACCTTGAGGTGACACATCTCCAAGGGTGCAAGCCCTGTGACCTGCTTCCTCTGAGCAGGCCTCATGTCTGACAGCCCCCACACCTGCCAGCAGTCTATTCGAACTGTGGATCTGTCCATGGTTGCACTGTCAGAGCCCTGACAAGCAGCCAGTCCTCCAAACACTCCAGAGAGTGCTTCGGCGATCTTCTGGTAGGGCCTTGATCCAATCAAGTCAAAACCAGCCAGGCCCCTAGTGAAGGCCTCCGGCCCTGAGGAGCTGATGTCCATCTGTCTCTTGGACACACAGACAAACTTCCACTAATACACCGCCTGTGTATGCTCCATGACCCTGATTGTTTATGGCGCCTTTCACCTCAGTCCTCACACACGGGCCTCGGTTTTCCTGAGGTCTCCTCCGTCTTCTTCTGCCTTTGCCTTTTCCATGCTTGTTCCTGGGCATTTTCTCCTGACTCGCCTTCCCATTTGCTGATTTCCTCTTCAGCTTGTACAGCGTGTGATTGAATTCGTTTAGAGTTCTTGGTTTCATTCCTTTACTTTTCCACTTCCAGGACCTCCCTTTTGCCGTCTTCCAGTTCTTTGCCACACCTCTCAACCTTCTTTGATCCCTCTGACTGTAGTGAGTGTGTTAGTTTAAATTTTGTTGGTGACAGCTCTTGCCATCACCACCCCCTTTGCCTGATGAGCATGCGTGCATTTGTGTGCCTGTCTTCTGCAAATAGGCCTTCCGGCAGTGTGGATGCTAACTTAACAGCCTCACCACCGCAGTCAGGACATTTTCTTTGGGGAGGCAGGAAGCATTCCAGGTTCCCCAGGAGCACACGGGTTCTGAGGCCCGTTTGTAGGACTCTCCCAGGCACAGCCTCCTGGTCCGAGCTGGCTGTCTGTTCCTGGGGAAACGGGCCAGCCTCTGGCCTGTGCTGGGAGGAGCTGGACAATGAGCCTCTCGAGTGAGGGCACTTGAGGTCACCCCGCCTTTCTGATCCCCACACAGCAGCACAGGGATTAAGAGAAAAAGGCCCCCCCCCCCCCCATTACCTCTGCCTCTGGAATGTCCCCCGACCTCTGCGTCAGCCTCTCAAACTTGAGTGATCTTACACACTAGACGTTGAAAAGTGCTTATTCAGTAATGTTCTTGGAAGGCCCGACTCTCACACTCCCACCCGGCCTTCCTGGCTCCTGACTGTGGCTCCCCGGCTGCCAAGCCGGCAACGGGGGAAGGATGCTGAGGACCACAGCTCAGAACCAGGACTCTCTGGCCCTTGGCTAATGCCGTGTGTGAGTGTGCAGTGGTGAGTATGAGAATGAGTGGGTGTGTCTGAGTGTGTGACCCATGTGTGAATGTGGATGTGACGGCTCTGTTCTACAGCCCAGAAATGCATAGCATTCTAGTTCAAAGGGCCCTGGCAGTCACGGTGTTGTGTAACCATAACTGGCAAGTTTAGAACGTTTTCATTAAAAACCACCCGTAAAGGCATTAGCACACGCTGGCTGTCTCTCCCACTCTCCCCGCCCAGCCTCTGGAGATGTTGGTCTACTCCGTAAGGTTTGCCTATTCTGAGGGGGGGGGGGGCGGGTTAAGAGCAGAGCTGGGTTCAGTTCCCAGCGCCCACATACTTGCAGCCCACCACCATCTCCACCTCCAGTTCCACGGCTTCTTACACCCTCTCCTGGCCTTCGAAGATGCAAAACACTCACACACACAAAAACAGACATTATGAGGGACCTTGGAGAAAGCACACGTGGCACACGTCTGCAAGCATCCAGGAGGCTGTCGCTAAAGCGTGGCATGCATTTGAGGTTCGAGACCAGCCTGAGCTACAGCATGAGCTACGGCCTCAAAACAGACAGGCAGACCAACAAACGAACAAATAAAATGGCAGAGCAAAAGCACTGCCTCCCGGGCATGACGTGGCCGCTGCACTCTTGAACCCACAGCAGTTGTGATTGTCTGGAAACGACTGGGCACTTGGGCGCTCACTCATGGCACTGGGGACAGGGTGGGCTCTCATTGCCACACCCCTCCCTGAGGATTTATACACAGCTGCCTGGGGGAAAGGGTATGTTCTTCTCTCATAAGGTGCCCATGTTCCTGTGAACAACCCTAATGGAACCCAATGGGACACACACATACACGCACATGCACACACATATACACATATACACACATGCACAAACACACACAAACACACACACACAGGTAGAAGGGGGGCTAGCTGGGGAGAGGGAAAAATAGCTGGAGTAAAGGGTGAACAGGAGATGGATCATGGGGACTAGATATGATGGAAACACACCGTGGCCATGTATGCAAACGTCGTAAGGAAACTTTATTGTACATAGTTAACATATAGTAACATTTTAAAAGGTCAGGGGTATTGGGGCACACCTGTGATCCCAGCATTCAGGAAGTGGAGTCAGAAGGATGAGGAACTCAAGGTCAGGCTTATTCAGATAGTGAGTTCAAGATCAGCCTGGCCTACATAAGAGCTCTCAAAGCAGGCGGGAGCAGAGGCACCAGAGCGAATGCTGCCTTTTTCTCCACGGTGGCCAGGCCAGCTGTGGATCAAGCGTACCCAGGCCATAGGACAGGAAAGCAGCCAGCCAGTGGCCCTTGAGTGGGGCTGATGCATCCCTTCCAGGCCCCCACTGCCAGGCGACGGCCTCTCTCTCCCAATGGCCTCCATGCTGTGGAGAGGGGAGCTTGCTGTTTGATGGGGCCCTGTGTCCACCTGCTCCATTTTGGCACCATCCCAAGGCCATGCATGGCCACACGGGGCTCCCAGCACTGGGCCAAGGCAGAAGGCCAGCTGTTTGCCAGGCTGCTGGTTCCAAGTCAGCTGCTGGCAGGTGGAAAGGGGGGCCTTGTTGGCCAGCCATGAAAACAAGTGCCAACCCTTCACCGCAGGGACACAGAGAGGCTGTTAACGGTGTCCAAACCCATGGGTTGTCACAGCAAGCCTCACTGTGATCCCCAAAAGACACACACACCCTGGCCTCTGGCAGCTGTCAGTGTGCCAGTTCACAGGTCCCCTTAGCAGATGTGCTGACGTCCTGCATTTAAGGGAGAGCCTGAATGTAGCCCTGGGTGTTGATGAAAGGAAGACAAGCTATGGGACGGAGGTCATGTGGAGTCAGGACAGGAAGACTGAAGTGACACAGTCCCTCCCTCCCGGCAAGGAATGCCTAGAGATAGAGTTGGCAGGAAGCGCCCTCCTCCAGCCTGGCTCCGAGCACCTCCTTGCAAGCACCTGGTTTCTGAACTCTGACTTCCAGAACTATGAGAAAAGATTTGTCACTTTGCAGCCACCTGGTTTCTGGGCCTTTGTGACACAGCCCCAGGGACGGTCATTGAGTTGTCCAGACTGCAGGCCAGGCTAGGAGCCTACCTGCTCTGCTGGTCCCAGGGCCGTACCCTCTGCCACCATGTGGGAGTCTCCAGACCTGGGCAGCTCTAGATTTGCCGTACTCAGGAGAACCACGCCTCTGTGGTAGAAACACACCAGCTTGGGCACTGGCAGGTCCCTGAGTGCGAGGCTGAGGACACCATCTGCCTTTAATACACAGAAGGCGGGTGCCGGGTGGGGAAGAGAGAGGAAGGACTCTCTGATGAGCAAAAAAGCCATGGCTGTGGACTGCCATGGCAAGTTTCGTGTTTGCTGCAAAGAGCAGGGCAGAGCACAGGCGGCAGCAGGCCTCTGCTGCAGGCAGGGCCGTGGAAACAGGCTGGAAGAGCAGGCAGCAGGAGCCCCCTCAGAGGTGGCACAGGCACATGCCAAGCAGCAGCAGCCAGGCCCCGGAAGGAGAAGAGAGGGGTTCTAATCTAGGGCCACCAGGCAGCAGCAAGCAAGGCCTCGTTGGCACAAAGCAGATATCTATTGGCCCAGGCCCTGAGGATCGGCACTGGATGAGATGGGGAGAGGAAGCAAGTTCTCTGAGATCAGAGAATCAGCCCTGAAGCCATCCCTGAGTGTGAGGGGGTGATGTGTATTTCCTGTTTCCTCTTCTCCCACTTCAGGGTTGACCCAGAAATAGGATATACAGTCTAGCTTTTTACAGCTCTCCCACTGGCTCTGGGACACAGAGAGGGCCCTCCCACATTGCCACAGGCTGGCTAGGGCTGTCAGGCCTGGGTGGTCCTGTGAGGTGGGCCTGCAGGCAGACACATCAATACCCAGACAGTTCACTGAATTGGGGAGAAAGCAGGGCACTGGGCATGGTGGGGGCAGCTTGGTAGAACCTGAATCAAAGGCCTGGTGCCTCCCATGGCCAATCCATCTGGAAGGAGGAGCAGGGAGCAGACGCCACAACAGGCAAAAGAGCCCGCCCTGGCTTCCAGAGGGGCCTGGGGAGCAGAGCAAAGCAGAGACGCACTGGCACGTAGCGGGAGCTTTATTTCTTAGAGAGAAGCCCGTAGGTTCCGGAGTCCCTGAGGTCCCCAGCCACTGTCAGGAGCCTGTGAGCCGGCGCAAGCAGGACGCTGCCACCAGCCCAGAGCTGACCACAGGCAGCCTAGCTGTCCCTCTGGGAACAGCTGCCGTCCCCCCCCAAGCCCCCAACCCTTCCACTACTGTGGCTTGAGAAGACTGACAGTCCCCTGAGCAAGGCTGTATAGAGAGTCAACAGAGTTCAGAGGTCAGTCCCGCTGTCCCCAAGAAATCTCATCTGTGACCTAGAGTCAAGTCAGATGTGGTTTCCAAACCCATAAACTGCAGCTCCTCTGCTGCCTTCATGCTTCCCTTTAGACCCATTGGGGGGGGGAGTCTCTGACGCGCTTTCCCCGGTACAGACAGTGCTCTGGCTCCCCCTCCCCTTGCTCTGAGAGCCAGCTGGCTGGAAAGCCAAAACTAACACCCTTTTCCTTTCTCTTTTCTGCTTTACTTCGTTCCTAAGAAGCCCGGAGTGGGAATACATGGGGTTATGTTCTGGAACACCCGGTGGCCGCAGGAGGGTTGTCTGAGGCTGTGTACACAGCAGGAGCTGGAGGTCCCCCAAAGTCCTCGCAGGCACCCCGCCCAGTGACTTCATCAGCCGGCAGCTCTCTGCTTTAGAGCAGCAGCCAGATCGGGACCACGAGGTCCTCTGGGCTTCCCAGTGGCCAAGGGAATTCTTGTCAAAAACCAAAACTGAGGGAGCCGAGGCCAAGAAAGCCAGGACCGAGGGATGACGGGGTCAGCCTGGGGCAGGACTCCGGTGTCCGAGGAATGCAGGGATGGGCAGGGGTGAGAGGCAAGAAGGTCGGCAGTTCGTGGAAACACCACAGAGGGCGGCCACTAGGGCTCAGAGGCTGGCTTGACCAGGTAGCCGCTGAAGGTGATGTACGTGTCGAACTCGTCGCTGAAGATGGCGTTCTCTCGCTCGCCCTTGAAGAGGCGCACCCACACCTCGTCCTTCTCACGCAGGTCCAGCATGAGGCTCTGGCTCTGCATGATGCTCCGGTCACTCACCTGTGCGTATAGGATCACCATCTCCTCCTCGTTCTTCATGATGTGAAGATACGTCTCCTTCTGGTTCCACGTGTGCACGTTGAGGCTGAAGAAGTAGATGCCGGGCACATAGCAGTAGAACTTGCCCGTGAACATATTGAAGTGTTTGTAAAGGTTCACAAACTCCGTGTCGAAGACCACGGGCTGGAAGTAGTCGTTACTGTGCAGGTCCTTCTTGCGGCCCACAGAGAAGGCCGCGTAGACTTTCTTGCAGGGGTCTCCGGGAGCCCCTAGGGATCCCTTCTGCCCTTTAGGGCCAATGTGGCCCCTCAGGCCTGCAGAGCCTGTTTTACCAACTTTCCCCTGGAGGCCTCGGTCACCTCGGTCACCTTTCTCACCTAGGAGAGAACAGGAAGATGTGAGGTCCGGAGAAGGCTAGCCTGCAGGCTGTTTGACCCCGCCTCCCTGCCCTGACCCTCTCCCATGCCCCTCAGCAGGAGGCTCCTGGGCAATGGGGGTGTCTGGCTTCTCATATCATTAGAGCTAACAATTTTCGTTGTCAAGGGCTGGCCTACTTCCACCCAGAAGGTGTGCTTTTTCACTTTCTTTCTGGAAAGTCCTGGCAAAGATAAAGGGACAGATGGGTTTGTCCACCAGCAGCAGGCCAGGCCAGGCCTGGGCTCGCTCTGAGTGAATGGACTGCAGATGTCAGGGCTCGGTGCAGGATCCAGACTGCCAAGCATTCCCTGGGGCTGTGTGACTTATCTAGAAGGAGGGCGCAGTGTTTCAGAGAACCATTTGGGCATTGTGTCAAAACAAAGAACTTAGGTCTGCAAGTCCTGTGCAAACAGGGGCGGGCCAGAATCCCTGAGGCCTCTCTTTGCGTGTGTGCATGTGTGTGTGTGTGTGTGTGTATGTGGTGTGCACATGTGTGACGTGTGTATACACACCCTACAGGCACTTGGAAAGGCCAGGAGAGGGTGTTGAGTGTCATCTTTTCTCTGTCCACCTTATCTTTTGATATAAGGTCTCTCTGCATCTTATTGCCTCAGGTGTGGACTCTAGAGGCCCCCTGTCCCTCCACCTCCCCTACCCTTGTCCCTGCCCCTCTGCCCCTCCCCCTCCCCTGCTCCTCTCCCTTCTCCTTCCCCCTGCCCCTGCCATGCTATTTGCAGTGGTTACAGGCACATATGGCTACACCTAGCTTTCACATGGGTGCTAGGGATTTGAACCCAGGTCCTCTTGCTTTCTCAGAAATTGCTCTTACCCACCGAGCCATCTCCCCAGTGTCTTCTAAAACTCCTCCTCTGCTCATGGAGAAGGGTCACAGCTCAAGAATCAAAAATTCTTCCCCCCTTCAGATGACAGCCCCCCCCCCCCCCCGTGACCCTGCCCAGCCCTGCCCAGCAGCGTCTCCCTCTCCATCTCTATAAAGCAGCATCCAGGAAGCAGCCCCCACGCCGGCTCCGCAGCCCCCTCACCTTTCAGGATGGTAATGTTGATCTGGGGCGGTGGGATTGTCTGGTACACAGGAATGCCCGGGTCACAGCATCGATAGCACCGAGATGTGGGGAGGTCCTCACCCTGGTGAGGGCTGTGCTTCTGTGTTTCTTCATCCCTTGGGGAATAGAGCACCACAGAGGTGTGAATGTCTGTGCCAGGAGCTCTCCTCTGCTCCTAAGGACCCAGCTGTGGCCTTGCTCCCCTTCCCCTGCAAAAGCAAGGCTCTGTCTAGCTAGGCCTGGGGGAGGAGTCTGAGACCCCAGCTCAAACTGCAGGCAGCCCCCAGCCTACCCCACATACTCCACCCTCAGTAATAAATATCCAGAGCAAAGATAACACAAATGGCAGGAACCTCGGGACTGAGCTGGAGAAATCACGCCTTCGGGACCAGGTCTTCCCGGTGTTGAAGGACTGGGCTCTGAATCTAGAACACAGCTACCAGCGGCTCATTTGTAAACTAGTCTCCCATCATCTTCAGTGCCCAGCAGCAGCGGCCAGCGAAGGCACTGGTTCTACGCTGCCACCTCATGGCCATGCGCAACATTGCACTTTGCTCTCCTCGCCACTTGACCCAGGGACCTAAACAAGCCAGCCCCTCTCTAACCCTGACCCGAATACCATCCCCAGACCATCTGAAACATGGATCCACACTAGCCCCAAGGTCAGCCATATGAAAACACAGCCTGGATGGGACTCTCCCTCATACTCAGCTACGCCAGGCTTAACACTCTCCATCCTCCACTCCCAGGCCCCAGCTCCCGCCACTCCAACCTGCCCCCATTCTTCACCACTCGCACTACCCACCTACCTGCACCTACAGCACCCTGCCTTTTCCTCCCATGCCCAGGAGGACCCTGGTGCAGCACTGTGGAGGCAGCCCTACTTCGGAGCCTGGATTGTATTGGGTGTGTCTGTGTCCCTACGGCCCTGGAGCTTTTAGACTCCACGGTCTGTCCTCCATATGCTTCTCCAGGACCCAGGAAACGGCCTGGTTGACAGCAGCTATTTTGTGTTTGCTGAATGGAAACAAAGGAGGGGGAAAAGAAGAAACAAAGGAATGGGGTTTCTTGGCCCCAAATCCTGCCTGGAACCTTGAACATTAAATTGACCCAAGCAAGGTGCAGGAGAGTGAAGGAACCCAAAGCCAGCAGGGAGCCTTGTGCGTGCCTCTGGGACTTCGTGTTCGGTGTCCCTACAAAACACCTCCCACAGCCTTGGACCTGTGACCACTGAGGGCCACCGCCACAAAGGCAAGAAGCCCTTCCCTTCCTTTCAAGGGAGGCTGCTACCTGGCTGCCTGGCCTACCTTCACCAGCACTTTTCTAGGGAGAGACTGGAGTCAGACAGACCCCCTGGTAAGCACACAGAAAGAAGGGCCACAGCAAAGATGGTGCATTTCCAAGATGGCTTCTTCCTTGCCCTCCTAACTCGAGACAAAAGCCTGGCAGCTAAAGACAAAGGCTCTGCAGGCTTGCTCTCCCACCAGCAGGCCCCTGTTGAAGGATGGGCTCAACAAGTCCAAGGCCAGATCTGGACACGGTACAGAATAGTGACAACCAACCATCCCAGCTTCTTCAGACTGACCAATCCTAAATCAGAAAATGGAAAACTCTTCAGAGACTTAACCAAAAAAAAACACAGCCCTTGAGAAGAGAGTGGATTTTTTGGCTTTTTGAGCTTTCTTTGTCTCTGTGTATTGGCTGCGTGTGTGTTCCTCACCACCAATAAACACTCTTCTGCAAATTCTGCCGCTGTCTGCCCTCTCTGAGACTTCTCTGCTGCACCTGAGATTTTTCCTGTTTTTGCTTGTTTGCTTTTTGGTTTTGTTTTTAGTTCATTAACTGGCAGAGAAAATGAACCTGGTCAAGACCCCTAGACTGTGTCACGATTTTATAAAAAAATAAGTTGCTCGAGGCCACTTGTCCCTGCCCCCCCACCTCCTGGCACATACTCTCGGGAGGCCAAGCTAGAAGGCAAAGGCGACCGGAAGGGCAGAGCAGGTGCCCTTTCATGGCGGAGACTCGGGGTTAGGGTGGGACAGAACCGCCATCCTCAGAGTCACCGACACCCAGGGTCCGCCTCCCTGAGGACCACTCCTCAGCTTCATCTTTGCCCTTTGCAACCCAAGGCAGCCACATGCGGCGTGCCTCAAGCCTCACACGCTTGCCCGCTGCTAGCACGCCTCACCCCTTCACATGGCCCAGAGGAGACGTCAGCTCCTCTGTCTCTTCCCACTCCGGCTGTTCCTCCTGAGTGCGTGGCACAAGGCTCAGGACCGGGCCCCAGGCGATGGCCAGCAACACGCAGCATCCCAGAATGAATCCTGGTGCTCGGGAGCCCATCTTCCTGCCAGAACACAAGGAGAGGGCATGAGTTAGGAAGGGAGTCTACAGAGACACAGCCAACGGTGAGGGCTGTTTGCCCAGCCCGGACACACACACACACACACACACACACACACACACACACACACACACGCTCCTCCACCAGGAGTGCTGCTGAATCCCTGAGTGTCGTCTGCACCAGCCTTTCAAGGAGAGCCCATCACCTGCTGGCTCCCAACGACGATCAAAAAGATCAAAAACCGATCCCAGGTGAGTGCTAGCCCCTCCCTAAATGGGCTGGTAGGCTGAAACTGGCTGCGGTTGTCTTCTGCCACCAGGGGGCGCTGAGCGAGTATTCCTTTGCACTTAATTTAGGGAACGTCACCCATCCAACTCAATCCCATCTCTCAGCCCCCAGCTTTCAAGCAAAAGCTTAAGACAGGACCCTCCTTTCCCAATACAGAGACTGTCCTTCAAGCACCCCCTTGATCCCAGAACTTCCCCACCATCAGCCAAAGTAAGTGTTGATGGATGTGTGCTGAGCTTTAGTACCTGTTTAAATTCTCTGTCCCATCTCGAAGCTCCTGGCTTGGGGCATGCAGGACCTGCCCCTCTTCCCCTATGGCTACATGCCTTAGCCTGTGGTCCAGCCCTTGGCTTCTCAGACCTAGGACTCCTCTTCTAGTTCGGCTGACCAGAGCAGGGCCTCAAGACTGTTTTCAGCATACCCTGGTGCTGCCAGGGGTCTTCGGGTAGCACCTTGCCTCTGCCTGCACGCTAACCCTGGCACCTGTCGGGAAGCCTGTATCCCCATTCCTTAGGCAGCAGCATCTCCTCCTGATAAGCAGCCGACAGACCGGCCAGTGGAACCAGGCACCCAGCTGAGATTCCGAGCATGCTTCTCATTAATTCTTTGGGCCCAGGTGAGGGAAGGGTAGGCATAAGAACACGTCCTCATTAACCATCCCACCTGTGACCCCAGGGCCACTCTTTCCAGGAGAGAATTTTCATTCATTAGTAGGCCATCTGTAAATGAGGGTGGGGTGGGGGGAGGGCTGGGGAGCTCCAAGCCCTCGAAAAGCAGACACGAGGACACGCGTTCCATCCCTAGGATCCACATTCGAAATGAAAATAAATCAAAGCCAGATCTGGTGGCCCATGCTGCTGATCCCAGGATCACAAAATCGGAGACAGGCAGATAGATGCCGGGGGCTCACCACCCGCCAGACTCCCTCACTCGGTGAGCTCCGGGCCAGTGAGAGACCCTATCCCAAAAACACAAGGCAGACAGCACCTGCAGAGCAGCTGAGCCTGCCCTTTGACCTCCACACACACTCAGGCCCGCACACAGATGCGTTCCTGCACACATCTCAACATGCACAGCACACACGTGCCCACACACGATGCACACGCAGTGAAGACAGGGGGCAGGAACTGCTGGCCTAGGGCCTACTCCTGGCTGCACAAGCGGCCCAGTCAAGACCCACACGGTGCTAAGCTCTGTCACGTCCTCCCAGATACCTCCTCAGCCCCGACCTGGGGAAACCCTCCTCTGGGCTGGTTTCATGTATCAGGTTGTCTCCAGCCATGGAGACTTTTGCTTGGCCCTCACAGCTCTCCCTGTCCGGCCCGGATGTCCCTGGCCTAGCCAAGCGTCCTGCAGCACCCTGGACCTCACTAGTCCTCAACAAATATTTATGGAGCTAAGTTCTCCCGATCTGTTTATTTCTCTAATTCTGTATTTCCTGTTTTCCCCTGGTACCCTCATAATTGTTCTCCCTGTTCCCTGTAAGTGTCATGCTTGCATCAGGCAAAAGGAAGTTTTCCTTTCTTTAAACTTCAGTCTGTTTGGTTGTTTTGGTTTTCTTTTTTTTCTTTTTTTACTCACTGTGTAGCCCAGGCTGGCTTCAAATTCTCAATCCTCTTGCCTCAGGCTCCTAAGGGCTAGCAGTGTAGGTACGGACTACCACACTAGTTTTAAATTTGATTTTCTAGGAATCTGAACATATATCCATATATACACATACATATCCATGCATATCTGGGGACATATAAATGAAAGCATGCATAAAGCTACCTTTGGCCATCCCACCTCACAGGTTCTCGGCCTTGGCTTTACTGACACCTGAACTGGGCCGTCCCCTCAGACCCTGTCCTGTATATTTGAGGGTGCTTTGTAGGACCCTAGCCTCTACCCCAAAATGCTGTTAGCATCCTCCTCAGTTTGTAGCAACCAACAGCTGTAGACACTGTCCTGTATCTGTCCCCTCCGAGGCAAGATTATCCCCAGCCAGAAGCCGGTGCTATGGCCCCGATCCAAGGCTGATGTGCCTCTTCCCGAGCTAGAAAGGGGATTTTTAAACACGTTTGTCAGAAAACAGGGTGACCAGGGCTGGGCTGGGAATGCGACATGGTGGGTGGCAGGTAACAGCCCCCAAGGCAAACAGCTTCTGTTGAAGGCAGCGAGGTGGGCAGGGCCTCCCACAGGCACACACAGCGTCCTTTGCAGATTCCAATCAAGCCGAGGCTGAAATGCTCCGATCCTGGACGTCGTCTTAACAATCATAACCAAATCCTACCACAGAGTTGACCTCATCACATTAGGGTCATTTTAGTCACTTTTTGGGAAAAGCCAATATTGCGCAACATCCAACCCAATTTGGCCACAGACCACCTCTCTGTTCCCAGCACAGCCAGGGTCTCCCTGCAAGGAGTGAGGCTTCCCTGCAAGAAGGCCATCTGGGGGATGTGCGCCACACAGGGAGATTGGTCCCCACCCCCAACCTGCACTCACATGTGTTAGGTCTTAGATCCCAAGACAAACACAAATGGCTGAGGTGCCTGTTTAACATACTAAATCGGACCTGGCTACCAGGTTCTCCCAGCATCCCTCAGTCCCTACCTATTACTGGGTATGGCTGGCACATCCTACCCACTGGCATATCTCAACAGCTACCAAAATCTTCTCCAGCCCAGTGGCTGAACTGCCCTTCCCTATATAATGCAGTCATTTTGGTTACCTGGTCTTTGTCTAGTCTCTTGGCCCAAGCTGCCCCTCCTGGTCGACAGCTGCCCTCCCCTCTCTCTCCCTCTCCCCTCCTCTTCCTCCCTCTCCCTTCCTCTCCCTTCCTTTCCCCACCTCTCCTCACTCACAGAGCTGGGGGTCATGTCCACTCTGGACTCTCTCAGATGTTCTTGCCTCTGGCTATGCTCTCCCTTTTATTTTCAGTAAACTCTCACCTGCACCATACCTAGGAGCAGTCAGGTCCTTTCCTTTTCATTTATTTATTTATTTATTTATTTATTTATTTATTTATTTATTTATTTATTTATTTTTCCATTCGATATAGCCTGACTCTGGGTTGCGCTGCAGTAAGAGTCACTGAAGACAACCCCCGAATGACCCATCCCTGTCCGCCATGAAGGAGAGCTGAGTTCCACCGGAAACTGCTATCTTATTTCTCCCTCCACAGGACCCAGAGCAGAGCCTAGAACCCCTCCTCAGCCCACCCAGCAGCTTCCACCCAAACTTCACCCAGGAAGCAGGAATACTCTTTGCAGGAGAAGAAGGAAGAGAAGTAATGCAACTTACAGGACTCGGAGGAGGGTGGGGACTGTGTGGGGCTGCCCAGGCCGAATGTGGAGGGTCATTTACAGGAAACAAGATTCATCCTCAAGCTGTTTCCTCATGTTCCTTTAAGGTCCACCCTACTGTTTCTGGCCCCTTCACGCCTGTGTGTGCACTCCTGGAGTGGGAGGCTGCCTGAGTGGGTTTGGCCTTAGTCCCCCGCCCCAGCTTATTGCCATTGTCAAAAGCATTTTGTAAACACTGTTTTCTTCCTTAATCCTCATCCAGTAAGCAGCTGTTCAGAGAGGCGAGAAGCTTGTAATCTCCTTCAACAGCCAGGAGCCTTGGAAGGCAAGTTGGAGCCGCCTCCTCAGCTGGCATTTTAACACAGGCATGGCTTGTGAAATGCTCCTAGATTCGCCTGGCATTGTGCAAGACTTGAGGATTGTATGTGTGTGCACATGTGTGTGTGTGTGATTCAGCCATAATTTAAATGTAGTCCCTATCTCAACTGTGTTTCAGTCCAGGGAGAAAAACAGACAAATGCCCAAGACTGAATGACCAGAGGTGAGTGGGGAACTTTCGAGATCCTTTGCCCTCCCAAACAGTGGCATTGAAGCGTTGAAATTCATTCACATAAAACAGAAGTCAGGCACTAAGCGTACCTGCCATCCCAGAATGCACTAGGAGGAGGCAGAAAAAGCCCAACACTTTGAGCTCTGCCTCTGCCAGCCTTTGCCTCTCCTCACCATCCCGAAGACAACCACACCGGCATTCTCTACATAGATTCTGGGGACCATGGATCTTGTCTTTGTGTCTTTAATGCAAGAACTTTACCAAATGGGCTACTGCCCTGCCTGGAAAATCTCAAATCTGAAGCCAGTCTGGCCTTCTTAGTGAGTGTCTGTTTACAGGTGATCCCACTAGCCTACCCTTGGGATCCGAGCAATGTCCTACATCATCACCTGCCAAGGCCGGGCCTGCTGCCCCTGCCACCCCCAGCTCTCTCTGTCCGCACGTTTTCTCTCTGTGTTCCCACCCTCCTCTGTCCTTCTCAGCCCTCATGGCTCTGTACATGCCTGTCTACATGGCCGAACTGTCATCCTCCGCCTCTCCTCCAGGGCCTGACCCCTCTCCCCTCCCCCAAATAAACCTCCTTTTCTACCATATCTGTTGTGTGGCATCATTCCTCAAGGGAGTAAGTCTTGGCACAGGCCCTCCATGATGCCATCCCGCCACCAACGAGTCATCGTTACAGTGAGACTGTCTCAAAATGGCTCAGGATTGAGGTCAGTGGCAGAGCGCTTGGCTAACGTCTGCAAGAGACTGGGTTCTAGTCTCAAAAAGATGAGGAAATGGAACTCAGAGTTCTGCAACCCAGGCATGCCAGGCACCTCCCAAGCTCTGCACAATGGCACGCCTGACTATCGCTGCCATGTTGGAAAGTTCATATA